TATCCCCTAAGGGAATCATAGAACCAGGTCACCTGGGTCTACAATTTCCATTCTTTGTAGTCTTCCTTTTCCTTATACTCCTAGCCTTGCTTCCCAAGAGCAGTTGGATTCCTTCCTTTTCTCAGTACATTTTATTTTATTAAAAAAAATTTTTTTGGCCATAATGAAGTTTTAAATCAGGGCTGTGGGCCACTTGAACCACTTGAACCACACCCCCAGTCCTTTTTTGCTTTAGTTAGTTTTCAGACAGGATCTTGCGTTTTTGTTTGGGGCTGGCCTCAGACCCTGATCCTTTTACCTATTCCTTCTGCATAGTTGGGATTACAGGTGTGCACTATCATGACCAGCTGTCTATTTTACATATGATGAATATGATACAACTGAAGAGAAGATAACTTGTCCATGAGTAAGGCTCATGCTCTTAACCACTATGTAGAAGCAGTCACTCAGTCACCCTACTGTGGCCCTGGTGGTCTTCCTAAACACTTTGCTTTCATAATTCTGAACTTTTTATCGCTTCTTCTTCTTGTTTTTTTTTTTTTTGATTTGGTGTTTTTGCCTATGCCTAAGATATTAGTCCTTTTTTCCCTGCCTTTGCAAATGCTTACTCATTCTTAAGTGATCAGCTCTATTATCTCTACTGTGAGGACTTCTTCATTCTCCTAAGGCAAAGTTACCTCTTTCTTTCTTCTGCCTCCACACTTGGTTTATTCCTCTGTCCTGTTACTTACCACGTTGTATTATCCATATCCCAGGTTGAACCAAATGCATCAAGGTTAAGACAGAACCCTGTCTTGCTTGGGATACATAGGGAGTTCAAAGCCAGCTACATGGTGAGACCCTGTCTCAAAAAAACCCACAAAAAACCAGAGCTGGGGATATATCTTAGTGGTAGAGCACTTGCCTAGCATGCTGCTTAAGGCCCTGGATTTGATACCTAGAATAGCCCCCTTCCAAAAAAAAAAAGTATGCTGTTATATTTATCCTTGCATCAGTAGCTTGTCACACACAGCCTAGCATGTAGCATTTTAAGAAATGTGAAGTGAATGAAGAATAAATGATGCAGAGTAACCTAAAAAATGTTGGTTTTCAGTGAGTTCCAGGGCGAAATGCAACATATACTTTTAGCAAATGATGTTAGCCAAAGAGAAAATAAATACATGTATCTAGGGGTGGAGAAACAGCAACAAAGTAATGTTATTTAAAATGTGAATATATGGAATGGGTGGTATTGGGCAGTAGTCAAGAAGTTGAGAAAGGGGTGTTGTATTTTTCAAACTTTTTTACTCAAGTACATCTGGGAGGTAAAGGATAGTGGGTGTATAACCCCTTATGGTGAGAGCAGAGCTCCAAAGAGTCTTTTGGCCTTAAGTATAAAATGTCTATGAATATTTTGAACATACACATGTTTTATCTTTAGAAATTGATGGAACTGTTGCATTCTATTATGTGTTTGTTTTAATATGAATATACTTTTTCTTCTCTACTCACTTCATTTTCTAATAAAATAGATGCTCCAGGATTGTATATTGTTTATCCTCTATCTTCTAGCACCTTCTGGCATGCTCTGATGCCCAATCTTGGGAGGCATGGAATGGGGTTACAGTCTAATGGCAGCATACCAGCTTTCTGTGATTTTGGGGGATTGCCTACTCAAGAGTATTAAGTCATGGAATGGAGGAGGGTGAGCTCATCTTGTCTGACTAACTCGGCTGTTTCTGGAAGGCTGCAGTCAGTTGGAGGCACCTCATTACCAGAGCACTAGGGACCATTTGGAGAGAGTTCACAGAAGACCCGCAGCCATGCTTAAGAGATGGGAGGGGCTGACTGATGAGGAAAGAATATAAATGAAAACCTTAACTTGGCTGAACCAAGACAGCAGAAATATACAACTGTATAAATGTGTCAGGAATATAAACTTGATGAGGGAGGGCAATCTTTTATGGTGGGGTTTTAGGATGGGGAGAATAAAAGAAGAGTAAATTAAACCAGAGTAATTGTAAACTAATCATTCCAAGTATCTGAATGTGTATTTTTATCTTGGAACTCCTTAGTGAGGCCACTCTAACCTGTGAGCCTTATCCAAATTGAATTTTTTTTTTTCTTAATTTGATGTTCCTGGACTCATTGCTAGTGCTCTACATAGAGAATGCTGGAGACTACATCTTGGAAAGCAAACATCTTTCTTGAGTCCTGCCTTGTTTTGTGGAAATCAGTAGGTGATAACAGAACTGTTGTATGTTGCCACTAGCTCTGTATGTACCAGAATTCTGAAATGGACTTTCACATCAGTTTTTCTTTGGCCATTTAGAATAGTGTTTTGAAAACAGAGGCTGAGTCATTAATATGTATTGTAATAATTTTAGGAACTGTGATACAGTATTTGATCCTTTATGTATATTGTATGAAACACATTCTTTGGAAAATAATTATGTAAAATTCATAATTGGGCTACAAATATGGACACAAATCTATAAATAAGAGTTGGAATTAGAGCTGGGTATGGTAGCACACACATACAATTCTAGCACTAAGGAGGCTGAGCAGGAGCCTGGGATACATAATTTCCTAAAATGTATGTGTTTTTCTATTGCCAGACATGGTAGCTTATTCCTGTAATCCTAGCTACTCAGGAGGCAGAAATCAGGAGGATCGTGGCTCAAGGCCAGCCTGGGCAAACAGTGAGACCCCATCTCCACCAATAAAAGCTGAATGTAGTCATCATAGCTAAGAGGGAAGCGTTAAGGTCTGACCTGGGCATAAGCATGACACCCTAGTTGAAAAATAACTAACACCAGAAAGGATTGGTAGTGTGGCTCAAGTGGTAGAGTGCTTGCCTAACAAACAAAAGACTCTTAAGTTGAAAACCTAATACTACCACCACCACCATCACCACCACCACCACCACCACCACCACCACCACACCACACACACACACACACACACACACACACACACACACACACACACACACACACACACACACGTATGTGCTATAGAAATATAGACTCCCTCCCAGTACTAGGGTTTGAACTCCAGGCCTTATGCTTGCTAGGCAAGTGTTCTACAACTTGAGCCATACTCCCAGTTCTTTTTGCTTTAGTTTGATTAGATAGAGTCTCAAGCTTTCGTCCAGGCTGACCTTGGACTGTAATCATCCTGTATCTGCCTCCTGAATAGCTGGATGACAAGCATGAGCCACCATGTCCTATACCAGAAATAGAAACCTTTTACATATCCTGCAACATTAAGAGTTTGGAAAACACTGAAGGGTGCAAGTAGAATATAAAAATTGTAATTGTTTTTACCAGGAGATGACTGCTATTAATGTTTTTATTTTTTAGTCTTTTTAAAATAATGTTATAGTTTTAACATTGGGCTTATGGTATATAAACAATTTTGTGCTTGCTTTTTCATTTAATATTTTATTTGTGAGCATTTCCTAGTCCAGTGTTTTTATTCCTTAAATGTGTCATTTTTGGGCTGGAGGTATGGCTCAAGTGGCAGAGCACCTGCCTAGGAAGTGTGAAGCACCAAGCTCAAACCCCAGCACCAAAAAAAAAAAAAAAAAAAAAAAAAAAGTGTCATTTTTAAGTCCTAACAAAACATTCTATCATAGGAATCGCTTATAGTTTACATTGCTATTATCTTGTTTGTAGATTCTTTAAACTGGTTCCAGTTGCTAGTTGACCTGGGTTTTAGCACATGTACTTGACAAGTCTATCACCATCTGTTAAAATGTATATATGTACTTAAACTTTTTTTTTTTTAAACTTGTTTTTTAATTATAAAAATTTACCAACTTTTTTGATCCCCTGGCTTGGCCTTTACTCATTCTGTTCTGTTCTTGTTAGCATTTTGTGTTTTCTTCCTTGGTTTCCCATAGCTGAGAGGCTGGAGAATAATCATTAAAAGCGTGGATTCTGGGTCCAGGCTACCTGGGTTTGATTCAACTCTACTACCATTTGTGTGTGATCTTGAGAAAGTACCTTCTTCTTTTTATGTCCCAGTCTGTAAAATAAGGATAATTGTCTATGTCTTAAGATTCTGAGTCATGAAGCACTGACAACAGTCCATGTCATGTTAAGACTGTTTCCATTTACTGATTGGTAGTCTCTTTTTCACTTGTTTCATGGTGGCTCTTTGTGTATACATTGACATAAACCTCCTTTCTGTTACATTTGGTTCATGAATATCATTGAGAGTTAGAAACTGACTTTACTTGGTGGCTTTATTTTGAAAGTTCACAGATTTTTTTCTCCCTTATTAACAGCAGACTTTATAGTTTTAAAGAAAATAGTGTTGTATAACCATGTCATGGTAGCGTATACATGGGCACAAAGGGAGAAGACTGAACAGGTTGATAGATCTGGTTGTAAGCTTTGGTGGTTTTTCCTTTCTGGCTGAATATTGCCTTGAGTCCTTTTCATATGGCCCTCTATAACCTGGCTCTGTCTGTGCTTTTCTCTTATTCTCCTTATGTGGTTCCCAAAGCCTGTATTCCAGCCCTATTAAACTGAAGCTAGGCATGAGTCTCACTCTTTAAAATCTGTGTCTTAGTTTGCCTCTGCTGATGGTTTGGAGTCAACTGAAGTACTGAGGCTTTCTTCTGGAGAGTGACAGTTTCAGGCAATGAAGCCACCAGGACTGTTGTAGAATTGGCATGGCCTTGGGAACTGTGGGGTTTCAGTTGGGAATGCTTGATCAGAATTTACTAATCCTTGGTTACTTGTAGTGTATCAGGGTTCCCACTGCCTGTTCTACTTTCTCTTTATTGTGTTTTGGGAAATCTCAGAAATGAAAATGTATTGCACTTAACCCTTTTTCTTTTTAGGGTAGGATCCTAGGAACCAGAACAAATGCATCCTTTGGCAGCCAGTTGTACCCTGCACTAGATAAGTCCAGGAATAATATGTTCTTGGGCTGTATTTTTCCACCCTGGAATTCATCCAGTTCAATTCAGAAACATTGACTCTCTGCTTACTGTGATATACCCTCAGTGAAGGTCTGATGGACAGACCCTTTCCAGTGACTTTGCAGCCTTTTTCTTCATGTGGAAGTTGGAAGGCAGAGTGAAAGAGGCCAAAAGTTACCTGCTTTGGTGAATAACTTGGTTCTCAGACCATGGGCCCTCGTTTAAAGGTAAGATAATAGACTATGGTAAGATAGTCTATTACTGGGGTGCAGAACATGGATTCAGTGACCAGTTCCTAAGCCTGTTCAGCAAGAGATAGTTGTTAAAGTACAGGTTGCAGTGAAAATTAACTTTGTTTCTGACAGAGCAGTTTTGAATGTGAAGAAATCAGTTTTCCATTTCTGGGAAATGACTTTTTCATTACTGATATTCAGTGATGGGGTAAAATTTATTTGATATATAATTATACATTTTAATACTCCAAAAAAAGACAAAAGAGTCTTAGGATGTATATGCTGATCAACTTTTTAGCGTTCCCTTGAGACAGGTATTTCCTCCCTTTTTGTGTAGGTAAGGTGAGCCAAAGTACTGTAGTTCTAAGCAATTTCTCCAGGATCCTAAAGTGAGCAAGTGATGTTTGTACACTAGATAATTGGTACTGCATTCCACTTTCTGTTGTCAGGTGTTATTTTTATTTCAAAAGATAACAAAAAGAGCCATGAGAGCTTATCATTCTTAGTTTAACTTCTCTGAGATTCCTCACAGTTAGATTGGGTAATTTTTAAATACTTTCTTTTTAAATCACTGAGGGTTCTCTGCAGCATTTTAAAAAAATACTTTCTTTTATCTGTTTTCTTAAATCTTTTTTCTTCCTAAATACTTGGCTATCTCTATGACTTCATTCTTTTTCATTATTCAGTGTTGTATTTGGTTAAGAGCTTTGGGCTTCAGAGTTAGACATAGGCTTAAGTCTCAGCTCTGTCACATAAGCAACTATGAGTTAAATGTTCAAGATAGCTTTTTAAAATTCATCTTTTTTTTTAAATCTGTGAAATGAGAATAATAGTGTTTATCTTGGCAAGTGGTGGGTTATAGTTACAGTATGTAGGCTAACATGCAAAGTACTAAGTACTTAATAAAGAGGTAGAAAGTTATTTTATTACTACAACTGTTATTCTGCTAGCTTATAGTATCACAATTTACTAAATTATATAAGAACAAGAACACTATAAAGTTAAACTTGAAAACAAAATACTCATCTAAGTAAATTTCATGAAGTAGTATGGTGGCAGAGTAATACGTTTTTTTATGTTTGAATTAGACTGTGGAAGAGTTCCAATATAGTTTGATCCAGAAGAATTGTGAGCAGATAAAAGTGGAGGTGCTGTAGAAACAAACTATTGTAGAAAAATACTGTGTATGAGAACACATGACCCTGCTGGTGGGTATTTGATACATACTTATTGAACTGAATTAAGTTGACAAATTTTGGTCTGAAAGAGCTTAATTGAATATGTGTAAGTGACTATATGACTTTAAATCATAGGGATGGTTAAATTAGTGTTTATGGTGGGGAAAGTAAAGACTGTTAGAACTGGAAGTTACTTTACTTAATAATCAGTAGCTGACCACAGCTAGTTGGAGACCCACTAAATCATAATGAATAGAACAAAGTGTCTTAAAGCTGTATCTAGGTTTGGAGATGTAGTTCATTGGTAGAACACTTGCTTATTGTGTAAGGCCTTGGGTTCCATCCCTAGCACTGCAAAAAACCCAAACTGTATCTAAAAGGAAGGTTCCATCTATGAAATTCCTCTTTTTTGGTGGTCCTGGAGCTTGAACTCAGGGCTCATGCCTGCTAAGCAGACATTCTACCACTTGAGCCACTCCCCCAGCTCTTTTTTGTGTTGGGTATTTTAGAGATAGTGTCTTGTGAACTGTATGCCCAGGCTGGCCTTGAACCACAGTCCTCATGATCTCTCCCTCCTGAGTAGCTCCCAGTGCCCAGCTCATCTATGAAATTCTTGATCCTTAGACATCCTGGACAAAGGAAAAAACAGACATTTGACCCTAGCCATTCAGCCAATTCTTTATTTATATTTATTGAAGTTTCTGTATACAATTATATTGGAAGTTTTGGAGGATTTTAAGACTAGTCTTTGCTTCATGTTTCTTACCTCTCTGAAATGAAAATAAGAGACTAAAAGGTAGAATATAAGTGCCACAAGATAAAATTGTTAAAAAACTCATGGAAATTCAGAGGTGGGAATGACTTTCCAAATTGAGGATCAGGGAAGATTTCAGGGTGAGGGGATAGGATTTTTCTCAGAACTTGGGATCAGAAGATATTCCATGGGTAGATACTGAAGAAGGGGATATTCTAGGCAGAGGAGATGACTTTTGAAAAGGCATGGAAATGGGACATTTCAGGGCTTGTATGTAAAAGTGCAAGGGATCTGATTTGGTTAAATCATAGAATGGGTAATAGGGGAAATAATCAATAATTGTTGGAGATGTGACTAAGAATGGTATAGGTTGGTAGCAGGAAAGATAAGACTTAGTAAAACAGGATCCTTAAGAGCACAGAAAATGCTTACAAAACAGAGGTGAAATCTGAAATAAAAGTGATTTCAGTGACAAAAATAAGGAGGCTTTATGATAGCATTCAGGAGGAACCTGAAAGGGGAGAAATGTGGAAGGAATGCACATTCAGAATGTGACCCTGGGGAAAACTTGGTTGTGGGTACATACTATTGGGGAGGTTTTTGAACTGTTGTAGAGCAGTGGGATATTTTGTAGACGTCAAATCAATGAGTGAGGAATTGAAAGAGCTAACTCCTTAGTCATAAGGAGGTTTTAAGAAGAAAGAAGAGTCATTTGGAAAAAGTACTAATTTGAGCTGGGCGTGGTGTCACATGCCTGTAATCCAGCACTCTGAGGCTAAGGCAGTAGGATTGTGAGTTTGAGACCAGGCTTCGTAGTAAGACTATCTCAAACAAACAAAGACATATTAATTGTATGTTGAGTTTTAAACTACAAAGGAAATTGGAGTAGAAATTTAGAATTGACTCATTAGAAAAGGTCTAAGTGATCTAGAAAATTAGTAGTGATGATTTCATTGAGAAATAAGTGAATGACCAAGGACTCAACAAGGTAAAGCTCATTTTTGCTAACTTCATGAGGACTGGGATGTTGGCTACATGTTCTGTGCCATTCCTCCAGGACCTGACACAGTAAATAAGGACTCAGTATTTGTTGGATGAATTATTTTAATGTGAGTTTTTAACTCCTAATAAAACATTCCAGACATTGCCAGGCACTGGTGGCTCATGCTTGTAATCCTAGCTACTTGGTAGGCTGAGATTAGGAGGATCACAGTTCGAGGCCAGCCTGGGCAAGTAATTTGCAAGACCCTATCTCCCAAGTAACCAGAGAAAAATGGACTTGGAGGTGTGGCTCAATGGTAGTTCGCCTACTTTGCAAGTATGAAGCCCTGAGTTCAAACCCCAGTCTCACCAAAACAAAATATCAGACATCAAGTTAGAATTCTATAAAGAACTCCCATGTAGGTTTAGACTTTCAATATAGTAAGAGGGACTAGCTTTTGTAATTTTCATACACTTTTCATTGAAGAAAGTATGAGCCACAAGGAGGCTTTTTGAGTTTCCTGTTGGCTTTGAAGCAGAGAAGTAGTGATGCTAGTACTACTGTAGGTAATACTTAAAATAATCATTAAAACCTTGAGAACCCATCATGTTCTAGGCACAGTTCTAGACTGCGTTGGCTCATTTAATACTTACGATACCTGCATAAGGTACATACAGGTATTATCCCCATTTGACAGTTAAGGAAATTGGCACTCTATAGAGAGATTCAATGACTTGTTAAAAGTCATATTGTGGGTTCAGAGTATGGATATGAATCCAGGTAATCTTAACTCTAGAGTCTTTGTCTTTTTCTACTGTATTATACCACTTGTTAATACTATTTGATTCTAGACCCTTGATTGGTATGGGGAGTTGAAGTCATAGCATGCTAAAGGAAGTTGTAACACAGAAGTTATAATTCTTAACTCTTTATATCAAGGAGACTTTGGAAGCCCACATAAGTCACACAGTTAGTTGCAATCTTTGGGCTGGTTCCCAGGATTCTAACTTACTGCTTGCCAGTTGCCTTACACAGGAAAGGTTGTTACAGTTTTCAAAGATTGTACTTAATGAATTTTTCCAGCTCTTGTGGCTCAAGCTATAAATTTGGCACTGCTCTAATTCCTTCAAGAGTAAGAGGCTTGAGACCACAACTCTGTATTGTCAGCCACATGTACTTCATTTTCTGCTGAGTGCTATAACTTCCAGCAGAAAGTTTCACATACAGTATTGAATTGTGTGGCAGCCAGCTGAGGAAGTACCTAAGACTTGGTCCCATGGAGTCATTTAATACATCCTGTAAGGTGTAGACAGATGCTTTTAGAGAGATGACAGCAGCTTTTAATAATGAGGTCCCAGGAGATGAGATCTTTGTTTGAGAAGGAGGAAGACCCAAATTTGGGTCTGTGTATTGTCTCTTTATAGTAGATCTTTTTGGGGGCACCTTAATCCACATGTATTGATAATTCTAATGTTTCTTGTGTGGATTTCTTTTCTAGCAGAACCAGTCTAAATAAGAATTTCTCTGACACTTGAGATGATCATTCCTTAAATTGCCTCCTTTCCGTGGGTTCCATTTGGTATATTATCAAAGGAGCTATGGGACTATTTTCTGTTTCTTTCTTAGAAGAAAAATCTTTATCACCATTATACATAAAGGTGCATTGTTTTAAGGCTGGGTATGGTAGTACATGCCTGCAATCCCAGCACTCAGGAAGTTGAGACAAGAGGATCGCAAGTTTGAGGCCAACCTGGGCTACATAGCTAGTTCCAGGTTGTCATGGGATATACAGTAAGACCATCCCTCAAAAAACCAAACATCAACAAAAAAGAAGGGCTGGGGATGTAGCTCAGTGGTAAAGTGCTTGCCTAGCATATATAGACTCTGAGTACCTACCCTAGCACCCAAGAGAAAAAAAAAGGCATAGTACACCATTTTAAAAAGAACTTCTTTTGGTTCCTTCCAGATCTGAACCTAGAAATTTTAGCTGTCTTGTCACTAAATAATATTGTGCTGATAAAGATGCTGGGTAGAGATAACATTGATAACTTTATGGTTTGGTGACTTGAAAAGAAAGTGAATTCAGTGCATTGTAGCATCGAGAGCATATTACAGCCTCTACTAAGGTCACACTCAGTGATGAGATTCACAGGTCATCATACATTGCATTTTTACTTCATGGTACCTTTGGTGCTTCAAATGATCAAGTGAGTTATAAAGACTGAAGTTTTGTTCAGGAATCAAGCTTAATAACAGTGAAAGTTTCCCCTCAATCCCTGACTTTTGGCAGGTGCCTCTTAGGATGAGTACTGACTGGCTTCTTCTCTTGTTCCTCTCCTTGGTCTTTCTATGAGCTCATCTTCCATAGGGCCCATTAGTTTGTCTGATCTGCTAATGGTGTAAGTGACTTCTCTTACATACCACTGCTTTTTAGGATGACCCAAAGTTCATTTTAGTTACATAATGCCAATATGATAATAATGCTTACATTTAAAAATGTACGTTTTTATATAGCTGTTTCTATTTAGCTCAGTTACTTCCAGAGGACAAATATGGTAAGGGGGAAACCGATTCCACTATCCTCTTTGCTTTTGTTAATCAGCACCACCTTACCTGGAAGAGGGAAACTGTTTGGGAGCCCAGGATCTAAAAAGATGAAATCCCTATTACTGAGTTTTCTAATTAGCATTCAAGCAGGTGGCTGCTCATAGTATTCCTAGGGTAGTGGGTATATTGGGCACCTTAAGGGGGAGTGGTGTGGTCTTTATTTGTCTGAAGTATGTCATAGGGCACTTGTCAAACTAGACAGGGAAGGCTGGGATAGTGAGTCACTAAACTAGAGACAATTGGTTTAAGCCATGTGTCATACTTCATCGCACTCTGAGATAGCTATAAGAAGAATTGGAGACAAAAAAATAAACAAATTTTCTTTTGCAGCTGCAGCTGTGATCCTCGGCTGTCTGTTGGCATTGAAGGGACCTGATGTTTTACGTTATTGGTATGTTACAGAGAGTGCTCTGGTTTTTTTTTGGAGCGGGGCTAGGTACTAGGGTTTGAACTCAGGGCTTCAGACTTGCTAGTCAAGTGCTCTACTATTTGAGCCACACCTCCAGCCAAAAAAAGTTGTCTTTATTAACTTTTTGTTAGAGTTGCCTAGTTCCTTTTTACATCTCTATCCATTCTCTTTTCCCTTGAAAAGTATTTCCACTAATGCCAGAATGTACCTTCCCAGAGTTGTCAGAGGAATTAATTCATTTGGGAACTATTTTTTGGGTAATTACAGTTCATGCCCAGACACTGTTTACTGTGGAGTCAAAGTTGAATAAGACAGAATCTGCTTTTAAGGAGTTCCTAACATGAAAGGGAGGTAGTCAAGGAGAAAGGTTCCAATAGATAAAGGAGTTTGAGGGAGCCTAGGAGAGGGAACCCCTAACTCTGGGGCTTTTTCCAAGTGAACAAAAGAGGAAAAGGCTTCCTAATGGAGGGAGCCAAAATGCACATTCTTTTTACTGCCTCTGTGAGGGCCCAGCACATGCAGGGATTGGGGTGGGGGGATTATATGTAGTTCATGATATATAACAGGGTCAGCAGATTTTCTGTAAAAGGCAAGAGTAAACACTTTCAGGTAGAAAGCCTTGCAGTCTCCTTAAAACCACTCAGTTCTGCCAGTGTGATTCAGAAGCAGCCACAGAGAATTGTGCTTGAATGGGCCAGGCTGTGTTCCACTAGAACTTTATTTAGTAGTAGTTATTGATACCTTGTCTAGAAAATCCTCTCTTCGCCCACAGAAGTAGTGTCCCAGTATAGTGTTTCTTTGACAGTCTTGCAACGTCATCCTCACTCTCTTTAAGTTTTGAGAGTTAGCTAGTCTGTTCCATAATGAGAAGCTGTAAGGTGTAATCAGCAGATGGTTTACATGTTCTTCCTTTTACATAGGTGGAATCACAGTGTCTGTGGTTGCATTCTTCTTCACAATTAAGTTCCTCTTTGAGCTTGCCGCGCGTGTAGTCAGCTTCCTTCAGAATGAGGACCGTGAGCGCCGAGGGGACCGAACTATTTATGACTACGTTCGGGGAAATTACCTGGATCCCCGGTCCTGCAAAGTGTCCTGGGATTGGAAGGACCCCTATGAGGTGGGCCACAGCATGGCCTTCCGAGTGCATGTAAGGGAATGTTTCTGTTTCTGTACCCTTTGGGATTTCTGAGTCATTTACTTTCCAGAGCCCAGTTCCGTCTGTTGGTAGAAGTGACTGGAATGTTAACATTTTCCCTTGTTTTTCAGCCCCTCCCAGGAACTTGGGAATTGTTAGTATCTGAAGAGTCATGAATTTCTCTGTCCTTTTCGTTTACTAGGTGCTTGGTTGTGAAGAAGTATAAAGCTTAATGTTACCTTTTCAAGATAAGAAAAATAGTATTAAAAATAGTAGGTACTGTAGATCAGGAGCTGGCAAACTGGCCTAAGAGCCCTAGCAGGCCCACCTTCTGTTTCTGTAAATGCATTGCCACACCCATTCATCCTTTATTGACTATTATGTATGACCTACAAAACCAAAAATATTTACTATCTGGCACTTTACTGAGAAGGCTTGCAAGCTCTGCAAGTACTTCTTCATTTTGTAGGGTTAAGGCTGGTATGTGAGCCTGAACCCTTCCTACCTTTGCATGGTGCTTTCCTTCACTCAATGCCAATACTGCTAGCTGACTGCCTTCACATTTGGGTTACCTTAATAACGTAATGGAAAGGGCTGGGAACAATGTAGAGGTAGCATTTGTAGTTGAGAAAATACCAGGTTGAAATTGGTATGTTCTTGATTCAGTGGTATATTCTATCCCATCCTCTGAATAGTTAAGAATTTGTTTATGACTTAATGGTTTTCTTTGGAGTGCTGAGAGTCTTTTCTCTCTCTGTTTCTGTGAGTAGAACTATGAGGAGTAGGAAGCACTGGGGCTTACCAGTATGACCTTAGCCAGAGATTTTGTCTCTCCCCACACTTCTTGCATGGGAAGTGCTCTCTCCTTACTAATGGGTGCCTCTCTTCTCCCACTGCAGTTATTCTATAAGAATGGGCAGCCTTTCCCTGCACATCGGCCTGTGGGACTGAGAGTTCACATCTCTCATGTTGAGCTAGCAGTAGAAATTCCAGTGACCCAGGAAGTCCTTCAGGAGCCCAATTCCAATGTGGTAAAGGTGGCCTTCACTGTGCGCAAGGCTGGGCGTTACGAGATTACAGTGAAGCTTGGTGGATTAAATGTGGCCTATAGTCCCTACTACAAAATTTTTCAGCCTGGTATGTTCTTTGTTCTTTCTTTTTCCTTTTCCCTCACCCCTTACTCTCTCTGTCCCTTCTTTCCTTTCGTTTCTTTTCCTTTTTTTTTTGGTAGGCTTTGGTGGGAACTTAGCATACTAAGCATGCTTTCTACCACTGAGCTATACTCAGTGTAAAAAGGTGTTAAAAGTAATATCACCTCTATTGATACTTAATTCACATGCTATGAAATTCATCCACTTAAAATGTAACAGTTTAATGGTGTTTAAAATTCAAAGCTGTATAGCTATCAACATAGTCAATTTTAGAGCATTTTCATGACTCCAGAAGGAAACCCCAGACCCATTAGTAGTCACTGTTGCCAACCCCCCCAGCCCTAGACAGCCATGAATCTATTGCCTGTGTAGAGTTGCTGTCTCAGGAAATTTCATATTAATATAAACATAAAATATGTTGTGTGACTATATTTGACCTAATGTTTTTAAGGTTCATTTGTGCTGGACTGTAAATTAGTCCTTCCTTTCTATTGACAAGTAATATTCCAGTGTATGGATTTGCCACATTTATCCATTGTTTCTACATCTTTTTGTGTTTTTTTTTGGTGGGACTGGGTTTTGAACTCAGGGCTTTGAGCTTGCAAAGCTGTCTGCCTCATTTTCTAATTGAATTTTTTTGGTTTTTCACTGTTGAGTTTTGAGAGTTCCTTATTTATTCTACATACTAGTACTTTGTCAAATATTTGGTTTGCAAATATTTTTCCAAGAAAAGCTATTTTTTCATAGCTTTTCTTCCTATCCCCTTACCAGGGTCTTTCATAAAGCCAAAGTTTTTAACTTTGATGAAGTCTACTTATATCCATTTTTTCTTTTATGCTTTTGGTGTCTAATAACTCTTGACTAGTCTAGATCCTAAAGATTTTTCTCTTTTTTTTTTTCTAAAAGTTTTATACTTCACATTTTATATTTAAGATTGTGATCCATTTTTAGTTAATTTTTGTATGTGAGACTTGGGTCAAAGTCTTCCTCCTCCTCCTCCTTTTTCTTTCTCTCCTTCTCATCTTCCTCAATCTATAAATAATTTTGCTGGGATTTAAATATGAGTTATGCTAAACCTGTATATCAATTGGGGGAAAGTGGACAACTTTTATTATGTTGAATCTTCCAGTTCACAAACATGGTACATTTCTTCATTTACTTAAGATTGTTTTTGTTTTCTTCACCAATATTTTATGTCAACATACAAGTCTTGTGTGTTTTGTTAGATTTGCACCTCTTTCATGTTCTTTATTTTTGTTACTGCTATTGTTCAGCCCTTATTTTTAAGGTCTGCCTCACTCATAGATTCCCTGAAAGATTCTAGCACTATATCTATAACTCTCAGTACCATTTCCTGCAGATTCTCTTTATTTGTTAGTGCTGGCAGTGATTAAGAGCTTATTAAAAAAAAAAAAAAACCTCCAAGCAAGTCCTTGAAGTTCATTTGAATTAATGTCTCTGTTTCCCTTCATAGTGCTTTAATTATCCTTAGGAATTGGGAGGTCTCTGACTCAGTAAGCCAGTCTTTGTGCACTGAAGAACACCTTTCTCATCTCTCTAAACGTTAGAATCTATTTTCTCTTCCAGGAATGGTGGTTCCTTCCAAGACCAAAATTGTGTGCCATTTTTCTACTCTTGTGTTGACATGTGGGCAGCCACATACCCTTCAAATAGTACCCCGAGATGAGTATGACAACCCTACCAACAATTCCACATCCTTGAGAGATGAACACAACTATAGTTTGTCCATTTATGAGGTAAGTGACATCCTTTTCCTGTATACTAGAAGAGCAGGCTCCTTTCTGTGTCATTTTTACTCCTTTTGATTGACATCCATCTCTTGTCTTCTCCGTGACTTCTCTGCTATTATATCTTTTACCTGACAGAATCTGTCTCAGTAATTATGAGACTTAGATTAGAGGATAGATAGGAAAGTTCTTTGAAAAAATAAATGGCCTTGCAAATAGATAAAATGATACATGTTAAGAGATGCTTTGTTTTCTTCCTATAGCTTGGCCCACAAGAAGAAGAGAGCACTGGAGTCTCATTTGAGAAGTCAGTGACATCAAATAGGCAGACTTGCCAGGTGTTCCTGCGACTCACCCTTCATTCTCGTGGTTGCTTCCATGCTTGCATTTCATACCAAAATCAGCCAATCAATAATGGCGAATTTGACATTATTGTCCTTAGTGGTGAGTTGAAAATTGTGATTTAGTCCTGTCCCTAGCACTTCTTCCTTTTATGTTTACACTCCTGACCTACCCCACAAACATTTGATATTTGAGCCATACTTCCCTTATTGTTCTATGTACTAAATGACTATGATTTTTTTCCTCACTGACTCTTATTTTAAACTTTATTCCCTGTTATACTTTAGAGAATGAGAAGAATATTGTTGAACGCAATGTGTCCACTTCAGGAGTGAGCATTTACTTTGAGGCTTATCTTTATAATGCTACCAACTGTACCAGCACACCATGGCACCTTCCACCCATGCACATGAGCTCTTCCCAGCGCCGGCCCTCCACTGCTGTTGAGGAGGAGGATGAAGATTCACCCTCAGAGTGCCACACCCCTGAGAAGGTGAAGAAACCAAAGAAGGTGTACTGCTATGTGTCACCAAAGGTCAGAACCCCTATTCTTGTCTTAAGATCTACCTGCCTGAGCCTGCATGTAATTGGCATTTGGTAACAGAAACCATAAAGTAACAGTCTGAGTGTCAGTAGAGCAGGATCATTGAGTTGTAAGGTTTCTGGAATGCTAAGAGAGGCTACTTAAAGTAGAGCACAAGGTTGTGCCAGCTCTGCTACTGGAGGTGCTTGCTTTGGATTAGACTGAATACCTGCCTAGAGATTCTTTGTGCCTTGACTCTGTGTAGCGTGTCTATACAGTCTACCCTTTGCTTTGGGGAAGATTTTTCAAGGTATGGCTCTCAGGATTGTAAAGGCTGCTTTTAATCATTAAAAAGTCCTTAAGGATAAAATCACTGTTGGTCTCTTGTGCTGTATCAAAACAATTTGGTCTTTCATTCTGTGATTTGTGAATAAACAATAAATGGATGTCTCTATCAGGCTCCAAGATTGTAATAAAGAAATTTTGGCAGAGACAAGAAGGTGAACTTCCCAAGCCCCTGAGCTCAGAGGCGCCTTGTGTTAAGAGAGTTTCTTTTGAATATTTGTATTTTCTTTTTCATTCAGTCCTCAAAAAATGAAACTTTGTTGAAATATCCCATTACATCCCTTTAATATCATAACCAAAACTAGTTCAAATTCTGTTCTACTTTATAATGCTTTGTTGTGTATCATTCTTCATTTAAAAACCTAGCTTTCATTTGGTGTAGGAGGGATGGTCCTGAGGGAACTGGTAGGGTGAAGAAATGAAACAAGATTGGCACAGAATCAAGTATTATTAAAGCTGAATATAGGTTTGTTACACTGTTCCCTCTTCTTTAATATACGTTGGAAATTTTCTTTAATGAAAAGTATCTTTAAATCAAGAAAAATTATCTGGGGGCTAGAGATGTAGCTCCATGGTTGTTAATGCTCACCTAGTTTAAAAAGTTATAGCTTCTGAAATACCTCTGCAATTTTTGCTTTTCTCAAACAGTACAATGACTGTTTAGTTGTGATTAAAAAAAGAGCATGCTTACCTAGCATGCATGCAATCCTGGGTTTGATTTCTAGTACTGAAAGAAAGAAAAAAAAATCTGACCTGCCTCATGTTCAGATAAGAGATTTTTTTCTTAAACTAAAAATTATTACATTGTCTTTTCCCTTTGTATAAATGACATAAGAAGACCCTTCTTTATCCTTACATGAGGTATTTTGTTGAAGTTCTTTGTATGAGACTTCCCTGCCACACTTCACTCCAACCTCCTTATTCTTCCCTTCTTTGTCTTTCTGCCTCCTCTTCCCAGTATGGGCTGCTGATAGTCCCTGTCCACTCATTTGGAGCAAGTTACTCTGAACAGCACTAGAAGGAGATCTTGGTTGTTTCTAGGTGAAATGTTTCTCTAAAGGGAAAATCTGATCCCACATATTGAAAAATTACCATAAAGCTTGAGTATGAAGATTGGGACATGTAGCAGGTACTGGTAGTTCATACCTTTAATCCTAGCTATTCAGGAGGCAGAGATCAGGAGGATCCTGGTTGGAAGCCAGTCTGGATAAATAGTTTGCCAGACTCTATTTTGAAAATAATCAGCACAAAAAAGGGCTGGCTGGTGGAATGGCAAAGTGGTAGAGCACCTGCCTAGCAAGCAGGAAGCCCTGAGTTCAAACACCACCCCCACCCCCACCAAAAAAAAAAAAAAAAAAAAGATTGTGACATGTCTCTGTGTGAGAAAGTACAGTGCCAGAGTAGTATTTTTAATTTGCTTTTTTAAAGATAGAGTTGATGTATTGATTTTAGTACTCACTAAATTATCCTTTTTGTCTATGTAAGAAAAAACTTGTCATGAAAAATGTAGGTAGAGACTCTGATATTTGAATCATAATACCCAAATAGGACCTTTTAATTTATCACTCACTTCATTTTGTGTATGTTGATCCTCCAGCAATTCTCAGTGAAGGAGTTCTACCTGAAAATCATTCCCTGGCGTCTTTACACATTCCGAGTATGCCCAGGAACAAAAGTAAGTTGAACCTTACATCTGCTTCATGCTGATCAGGCTTCATCTCTGGGGTGTTTCATCTTTTTTTCCCAAAGGGTTTTTGGTGTTTCTGGAAGTTCTCCCTGTGCACACAGGATTTGTTTCCAAATAAAGAGTATCTCCTCACTAAATGGCACAAAGAATATGTAACTTTTAGAAGGATGTATACTTGTAGAAACAGTAATTAGTAGAAACTCAAAATACTTCAGTTATCTTTTGTTTCCAGGACTAAGTTCATTGAGAGAGGGTAATGGTAATTTTGGCCTAGGCTTGTTTTCTCAGTGTGCCTAAGCTCATTCTTTTAGAAAAGTGTCCTCATATATTTAAAGAATTCATTTTAAAAAAATAAAAACAATTTTTCTGGGCTTTTATAGTTCCCAACTTTTGTCCAGAGGCTTGACTATGTCATTTTATAAAAATCACTTTCTTCCAGGCAATTTGGAGTAATAGTTTTTGCTATTTTGTATATTCTTACTATTTTCACCCTTTTTAAATTTTTTTGTTGAATTCTGTGGTGTTGTCTATGATCCTTAATTAAAGGTAGTCTCCAAGACTCAAATAATTTCACATAAAACTTTAATTATAGAACAGTGAGGTAAAAAGCAAGAGATATACTCCTGGTAGGTACTCACTCAGAGAAAACAGGTTTCCTTGTTTTTGTCCATTGGTGCAGAAGAGTGGTGATGTGAAAGGTTTTTGCTGGGTTTGAGGGTTTTATAGATTAACTTATTTTTTATTTCCTTTGCTAGTTTTCATACCTTGGGCCTGACCCTGTTCATAAACTCCTCACATTGGTGGTGGATGATGGCATTCAGCCTCCTGTGGAGCTCAGCTGTAAGGAGAGGAACATTTTAGCAGCCACTTTTATCCGCTCACTGCATAAGAACATCGGTAAGGTTGGATGGGGATTCTGGTGGGGAAGGTAGAAACCCCAGCTCCCCTGGGTCATGAAGGTGGAAAGGTGGGATTCCATACTTGTCTGTTGAAAGGTAATCATGATGAGTCTTGCTGCTCCTCAGGAGGCTCTGAGACCTTTCAGGACAAGGTGAACTTTTTTCAGCGAGAGCTTCGGCAGGTACATATGAAAAGACCACATTCCAAAGTCACCTTGAAGGTCAGCAGACACGCCTTGTTGGAATCGGTGGGTAAAGTTTCATCTTTGTCAACAGAAGCCGCAGTTCTCCAACTAAGAACTTCTTTACCATTCAGTTATATCTTGCAGGTTATCTTTTTGTTGTTGTTGTTTTGCAGTACTGGGGCCTTTAGTGCTCTACTATTTGAGTCATGCCCCCAGCCCTTTTTGCTTTAGCTATTTTTTGTATAGAGTCTCATGTTTATGCCCATGCCAGCCTGAATCATTATCCTCCTGTTTACACTTCTGTGTAGCTAGGATGACATGTGCAAACCACCATGTCCAGCTTTTATTGGTTGAGAATGGAGGTCTAGCTAACTTTTTCGGGGGCTGGCCTTGAACTTTGGTCCTCCTAATCTCTGCCTCTGGAAAAGCTAGGATTGCAGGCTTGAGCCACTGCACCTGGCCCATGTCCTGCAGATTATCTTTTTTATGAAATGTAAATTTCTGTCTTTAAATATAGCTGTCAGAGCCTATTTGTGCCTTTCTGATTATTGGAGGTATATAACTGAGGGGAGACTAGATGACACATTGGTTTTCAGGTCTATGGTGAACTAGTTCCTATGTAAGGAGGTAGAAGTGGTGGCTACAGAAGAAATTTCCTTGTTATTGAATCCCTGGAATAGAAGAGCTCTTGTTGGATTACAGGAAGTGATTTTTGTTGTCATTATGGTCTGATGGAAAAGGAACACCTGATGTGTGTCTGTCTCCACCACACAGACACTGGCATGTGTCTGACATTCCCCAAGAATGAGAAGGCTTGGTGCCTGTCCAGAAAGCATTTGTGGTGTTTGGCTCTGGTAGGTGTGACTGGAAACCCCTTTTCTCAGCCACACTCTCTGTGGGGCGTGACTCCCTGTCTGAACTTCACCTTGTGGATAACGAGGTCTAGTAGATAGTCTATACTTTACTGAAAACCAGGATGCCTTTGTTTTCTTACTTACAGGTTACTTACTTGAGTCATTGTTTTACTTAGCTTCAAGAATTTTTTCATTAATAAAATGGAGATTAAAGCACAAACAACATCAACTTTCCCACAAAGTGATGACATAAAGACAAATTAGATTTATTTTTTTTTAAAGTTAATAGTCTTACTATGTAGTCCAGGCTGGTCTCTAACATGAGGTCTTCTTGCTTCAGCTTTCCAAGTGCTGGGATTGCAGGCACTGGGGAGGGCTTTGCCGGGAATGGTTTGAGCTAATCTGCAAAGAACTGTTTTAATACCACCAGTCAGCTCTTCACCTGGTTCAGTGTCAATAACCAAGCATTAGTGAGTCTGTGACTTCCCCATGGGTGGGTGGAAAATGTGGTACATACCACAATGCCTATCTTGCCTTATTTCTTAAAACCTATGTGAGAGAAAGATAGGTGCATTTAAATATAAGACGGCTTGTGAGCAATACATCTCCTCCATGTAGTAGTATTTAGTTCAACAGGCAATGGCAGTGCTCTTGGGTTTGTTTGGGATCCAAGGGATGCCAGCTAATGTTCTTACAATTTCCTTCCTTTCAGGACTGGAGGAGTGGCTCAAGTGGTAGAGTGACTACCTAACATTTTCCTTCCTTTCCCTGCTTTTCAGTCTCTGAAGGCCACTAGGAATTTCTCCATTTCAGATTGGAGCAAGAACTTTGAAGTGGTTTTCCAGGATGAAGAAGGTCAGTTTTGAAATCTCATTTCATCCCTTTAATTCTCTTCCCTACTTCTATTCTTTCTTTTTCTCCCCTTCCACAAAAAAACAAAACAACCCTCTCTTGTCCCATAAAACAACCCAGCTTCCATGAGTCAAGAAAAAAAAAAAGGATAGTGTTTACTGGCCAGATGGAATGATGAAGCTTGTAAAGCAGAGATAGGACTGAAGGGTGAGCTGTAGAGTTTGAACCAGAAGAACAGAGTAACCATTGCAGAACTCTGAGAATGTCCATTACCTGGCATCTCTGATCTCTTGTGTTTCCATTAGCTTAGAGATCAGAATATCACTTAGATATTTATAATGAAGAAATATTAAAGTAGTATGTGGTCGGTGTAAAATGACAACTAAAGGAACAAAAATGATTAGAGGAGATAGGCCAGAGTCACTTTTTATTTTCATTATACTTTTCAGCTCTGGACTGGGGAGGGCCTCGCCGGGAATGGTTTGAGCTAATCTGCAAAGCACTGTTTGATACCACCAGTCAGCTCTTCACCCGGTTCAGTGACAACAACCAAGCATTAGTGAGTCTGTGACTTCCCCATGGGTTGGGTGGAAAATGTGGATTATATTATAATTAGTTTAAAAAAATAAACAAGAGTTTGAAGTTAGGAAACTGACCTGGGAGTCTGACAACCCATGCCATTCTTAATTTGCTGTTTACAATGTGAGCTAATCAGTTTGCCTTCATTATTTCATCTACAAAATAAGAGATGATACAGATAGTTGAATATTTGAATAAAAAACATTATAGTGCAATGACTACTCTATTATAATAATTAAGCTATTTTCTCAAAACATGCCTGGGGCAATTAATTTCTGTATTAGATCTTTGACTAGGTAGAGATGTCAATAGTAGAGAAGTAGACGGTGGCTTCTTTTAGTTTAAGGAAAGGCATCATATTATCCATTGATTAATTTCCATACTCAGCCAGGGACTGCAAACTTAATACAAGAGTCTTCAGCTTAACTAAAAGTCCACCTGCCCTTTATCCTTCAGTTACTTTAATCTTTCACTGGTAGCTACCAAAAGACTAATGCTATTCAAACCCTTATGCTGAAGTTTTTGTTTTCTTGGCATGATATATTATTTTTCCATTGCTGTAACAAATACGTAAGTTAATTAACTTATAAAAATTAGTTTATTTTAGCTCACAGTTTTGGAACTTTCTGCCCATAGTCACTTGGTTGGTGGGCCTTGTTGCATTTGGGCCTGTAGTGAGGCAGTACATCATGATGGCAGCATATGATAAAATTGGTCACCTCATGGCTGGGATGTGAAAGAAAGAGGAAGAGACCAGGGCCCTGTACTCCTCTTCAAGGCCATGCCTTCCTCCCACTTCCCTTTCCCCTGAAACCTTCCACAAGGCTCACCTCTTAAAGATTCCACTACCTCCCAGTAGCACCATGGATTGGGACCAAATAGTTACCACATGGGCCTTTGGGAGACATTTCAGATCCAAACTGTAGCACATGGGGTTAGTGATGGAGGGTCTTTTCAGAACTAGGTTTGATGAAAAATGGCCTAAGGCCTTTCAATTTCTTCCTTTGACAGGTGCATCCCAACCCTAATCGCCCAGCTCATCTGCGCCTGAAGATGTATGAGTTTGCAGGGCGGCTAGTGGGGAAGTGTCTCTATGAGTCCTCTCTAGGAGGAGCCTATAAGCAGTTGGTCCGTGCTCGTTTCACCCGTTCTTTCCTGGCCCAAATCATAGGACTGCGTATGCATTATAAGGTAACATCTTAGGTATACATTTCTACTAAGGCTGCCTGAGCATTAATTTGAGATCTCTCCACCTGAGCCAGTTATTCTTAAGGTTGAAGAGATAAGTGGTTCCAAGCAGTTACAAATTTCATTTCTAGGAAAAAAGTGTATTCATGTTCTGTTTTGTGTCTTTCTGTCTCCTCAGTACTTTGAAACAGATGACCCAGAATTCTACAAATCCAAAGTTTGTTTTATCCTTAACAATGACATGAGTGAAATGGAGCTAGTCTTTGCAGAAGAGAAATATAGCAAATCAGGTCAATTGGATAAGGTGAGAAAAAGGAACAAAATCTGTGGGTCCCTGCTCCTCAACTTTCTCTAAAGCAGTACTGTTCAATAGAGCTTTCTGCAGTAATGGAAAAACTCTAAATTTGTTATCTGTCAGGTATCCAAAACATGTTCAGTTTCTACAGGTAACTGAACGACTCATTTTGTCTTACTTTAGCTAATTTAAATTTAAATACCCGTGGCTGGTGGCATTCATATTGAATTGCATCCCACAATTTATGATCTCAGTCCTCCCTCACTTTTTTTGGTCACTGGATTTGAACCCAGGTCCTCACACATGCTAGGCACATACTCTTTTACTGAGCTGTACCTTCCACTCCCAGTTTTAGCCTAGTCATGTCTATATCAACAACTAGCAGTTGTGATATAGCTGATTCTTATTTTAACACAATGCCTGCACATTTTAAAACTTTTTGAGGAAATTATTGACTAGAAATATTTTTGATGCAAATGTGCTTCTGTTTACATTTTGGATTTAAACAATATCAAATAATAATGAAGCTAGAGTTGTAGTACATAATTAAAAGCAAAGTAGCAATGCTTGAAAGTTGTGGCTGGTAGTACCACTCTACTCATAGTCAGATATCCTTTCTGAAAATTATAGGATTGCCAGGTGTTGGTCTTTATATTTTTGGGGGGTCAGTCTTTTCCTGAGCCAATATAACTTGAGGAATTAGTCCTTAGGTCCAAGGATAGTAGGATAGTATACTCCGCAGCAAGAATTCTCCATGGATTAAAAATTATAAAATACAGTTTTTTATATTATTAGTGTAATTCTGGATATTTATGTTATAAGAACAAGTATTTCTATTTAATAGACTAAAAAATAAATTATTAAGTTTTAATGTTCACATTAACCCCATTGAAATGAACCAGCATGCTGTTATCAAGACCTTAAAATCTGATCTTGCAACTCTTGGAGGCTTTCATTCACCTTTGGCGACAACTCTCATTACCATACACAAATTTTTCAAGGTGATGATTTTAAGCTGTGTTTCAGGGCTTCTTCAAATACCCCCAAGTAGTTGTTAAGGAGATATGATTATACTTGAGAATTATATAGCTTGTTCATCTTTTTCTTTGCAGATAGGAAAATTGGGGGCCCAAATATGTTTTGTAGCAAGTTAGCATCAGGGGTAAAATTAGGATCCAAGTTTCAGTTGATTCACTTTGGTAGTAGAAAAACGTATGGGAACAAGAGACATAAAAAGAGGAGAGGTTAGTGGTGGCTTAGTTGAGGATGACAGGTTAAAATATTGCTAACAAGGACCTGTAATATCTTCCTGTTGCTTATATCAGCACTACTTCGCCAGATCAGAGAAAACCTCACCCAAACACCCACTTCAGAAAATAGTAGCTAATAGAATATGGCAGTAGTGTTAGGAGATTAGTAATGAAAAATAAAAGTAAGTATGTTAAAAAACTGAATTCACAACAGAAACTTGTGGCTGACACTGGTAGAGTTCAGTTATGTTGTTTGTTAAACATAACAGGCAGATAGCATTTATAATCACCACCCACAACTTCTCCTTATCTGTCTTTTGCCTCCTATTTCAGGTTGTAGAACTTATGACAGGTGGAGCTCAAACCCCAGTCACCAATGCAAATAAAATCTTCTATTTAAACTTGCTGGCCCAGTATCGGCTGGCCAGTCAAGTGAAGGAGGAGGTGGAACATTTTCTAAAAGGTGGGGTCCTGTCTTCTAGTGGCCTTGAAGTTAAAATACCTGTAATCCATGGTATGGGTATGGCTTTAACTTGGCTACTTTGTTTTAGGCTTGAATGAGTTGGTCCCTGAGAACCTTTTGGCTATTTTTGATGAGAACGAGCTGGAGGTAAGTACTTAGAATTTAAGTTTCAAGAGCCTATGGGAACCAGCACCTTCTGTTACAAGGTGTGGTAGGAAAGCCCTTTATGCAAGAGTTCAGTTTGCTTTTGTCACTCTTCCATTCATTGATGCTTTCTTCAGCTTTTTAAAATTAAAGTATAAAAGGTCAGAGAGCAGTAAATAATTATTTGTGAAGAGAATAATAATTAATATTCATTTATTCATCAAATACTGGTACTGATTTGAGTAGTAAAGAATATTTGTATCATGTAGTCTTCATAAGGCTTAGAACATTTAAAGGGATAATAGGCTGTATTTGTTCAGGTATATATTGAATATGCCCTGTATATGTACATGTTGAGATACTGGGGAAATAGCAATGAATAAGACAAAGTTCTGACCCTTATGGGGCTATATTCTAGTGAAGGAGACAAATTAAAAGATGTGACTGTATTCAAAGTTTTGGACATTTTTACATGTGTGTAGTAACTATGTTCATATTTTAGATCCTGATCCTGTAATAACCAAAAAGTGGTTATAAGATGGTAAATAATTCTTAATTAGCCAAATTAAAGTCTATATCACGTATGGAGAAGAAAAAATCAGTTTGTCTTTATTTGCTTCTCACAGATGGTACATATAGTGCAAGTTATTAGTTTTAACTTCCCATAGCTTTTATGAGGAGTGTGTTTCTGCAAAATATTTCCTGTAAGGAGGAGGTTCTTATTTGCTGAATTGTCTTTGAGAACAAGAATCAAAGTCTTCTGCAATTTCCATCACCTTTTGTATCTTCAGATGTAAAATCTAAACAAAATGAATTCTTCATATTCAGCCTAAAATTTCTTAATAGATCTCTGACCTAGAGCTATCATTTTGGTGACTGAGGATATTTTATCATGAAACAAAGAATTTGTAACAATGTTTAAAAATGAGTAGAAAGGAAGGATGCAGTCTTTTACAGTTGTTTCATGTCCTACTCTTAGTTACTCATTAGCTTAGAAAGTTCTTCTTGAATGCGCCAAGACTCCTGATGCTGAATTTGGACTTTTCTTGTCTCTTGATTAGGAGGTATCATTCTTTACAGATCTTGGATGGGTACTCACAGTCTCCTAAGTAATATGCTGGATCCTGAACTAAATTGGGACATCAACAAGATGTTTAGGGCTCTGTTGTCATTAATGTTCTCATTTTTTGGCGTACCTTTATCTGATCAAGTGGAGGTATGGCTGAAGGGAACATAGGGAAAGTTAGTGCATAAAAGAGAATGGATCCCAAGAAAAGGAAAGGCCATCTAAGAAATTCATAAATGGGTCTAGGGAAAGGGCTTGCCTTTGCTCCCTAGTATTCCTAGGCTAATACCTATTCTAGTATGCCAGAACAGGCTATCAGTATATACTTTGTTCCTTTTTTGACCTTTGTTTTAATTAAAAAAGAATCCATAGTAGCAGTTCTTAATTTGGGGTGCTCATCAGAACGCCTGGGAAACTTTGAAATTATACAAGCTCATAATCTATCCCTAGAGATTCTGATTCAGTACATCTGGGGTAGGGTCATAAGCATCTATCTTTTTTTTTTTTTTTAAGTTGTATGATTTTCACAATACTGGGTAGGATCCATTGGCCTGTTGCAGTTGATTTTCCTGAAGTGGTATTCTGCATTGAGCCCTCACCTTCTGTTTTTATTCTGTATTTGCTTATCAACGCAGGTAATTTTGGCTGTATAGTATCTGTATTTATGTTTTTGTCCCTCTGACTATCCTAGTAACATCTGCTTGTCTTTTTTCAGCTGCTGATGTGTGGGACTGGAGACATCAGTGTGTCTGACTTCAAAGCCCATGCTGTGGTTGTTGGTGGTTCATGGCATTTCAGAGAAAAGGTAATGAGCCAAACTTTCTTTAGATGGATTTGTGCTGTGTTATATGGAAAGTTTCAGAAGAAAAAAGTAGAGGAGTCAAAGAAGTAGGCATTTTGACTAGGAAAAAAATGGTATATGTGAGGAAGAGGAAGACAGATGGTTGTCCAGGCAGAAGGAACTCTGGACAGCCATAAGGGCTGTCATGCTGACTACCACAGGAGCAATAAATTGGAAATGCTAGTAGCCATTAGTGATAACTCTCCTGACTATGTAACTAGTCACTAGATAACCCAAGTGACAATGTAAATTCCTGCAAGGTTGTCAACTCTGATCATTCCTACCTGTGTCCTCATAGAAATGTAAATGGGAGGATATCCTTACTTCAAAATATCCTGTCCCTTCTCCTAAGGATCAATATCCTAGGCTGCACATGTGTGATTCTAGCCTTGAACTATTCATTGCCAGGTCATGAGATGGTTTTGGACTGTGGTTTCCAGTCTGACACAAGAGGAGTTGGCTCGACTGCTTCAGTTCACAACCGGCTCTTCTCAGCTACCACCTGGAGGCTTTGCTGCTCTCTGTCCATCATTTCAGATTATTGCTGCCCCAACCCATAGCACACTACCTACTGCACACACATGGTAGGTATCTGAGCACCCAGTGCATGCCCTGTGGGGGATTATCTTTCTAGCCCTTGCCTGTGTGAGTTAATCACTTCTGCCTTTGCTTTCCAGTTTTAACCAGTTGTGCCTCCCTACATATGACTCCTATGAAGAAGTGCACAGGATGCTGCAGCTGGCAATCAGCGAGGGTTGTGAGGGTTTTGGCATGCTCTGACTTTTGTCCTATCATCTGCTTGGCACCCATGCTCTCTGGAGCATCTGGGCACTCATTACAGACACAACCACTGACTCTAACACATATAACCATCAGCCAGAAGATACCGCATGCTCCTACCCTATGTCTGGAGTATTTTATCACCTGTGAGCCTTGTCCTTACCTCACCTCCTCCCTGCCCACAGGCACTTTTACATGGGATGTAATCTGAGCTCTCCAGTCAGTCATAGAAGAGGACCATGCTGCTCTCATTTCATTTGGTCCTTTGAAGATCTCAGTAACTCCATCTGCCTCAGTGGCTGAGGGGGTTATATGCAGGGCTCAGCTCTGTGGGGAAGCTGGCATGCCGAGAGCCTTAAGTCCAGCGCCCTCTGCTGATACTCCTTGGAGGCACCCTCTTTGCCCTCACTACTTGACTGGCACGTGAGCCCTTCTCCTGGGTGTCTGGATCGCCTCTTTTCCTCAGCAGCCAGGAGAAGCACAGATGGAAAGTGACCCCCACAAGAAATCTTTGATTTTTGTCCTCCCACATAATGGCAGGCACAAAAAAAGACATGGCACTGGATTACCTCTAAAGAGAACTGATAGCACAAAAGGATCTCTTTGTGTCAGAACTGAAAATGGTACTTTCCCTGCAGGCATTTCTGGAAATGATTGTTAATCCATAAAGAACTCTGAGCTTTTTCTTGAATTTGAGCCAGTGAGAAAAGCTGTCAGACTGAAGAATGTAAAGGACAGCTGGGCTGTAGCCTCCAGTGTTGGGTGTGATTCTCCCCTCGGTTGAGGGGCATATCCAAACATGTGACTGACTTGAAGACTACTGAGCTTTTCCCTGAGCTTATTCTTTGCACTGAGGCTGTGCCTAACCACTAACCTCCCAAGTTATGCAGTCTGTTAAGAGCTGGGAAGTCTTTAGTGTTCTGCTGAAGATACCAGTAGCAGAGGACTGGGACAGTAAAAATAGCATGCCAGCAATTCCTCACTGTCTTTGCTTGGTGTTCTCTGGCAGCACTGAAACAAGGGAATAGTGATTACAGGTCCGTGTGCTCTAACCACTCTGGGAACAGACATGGAGATAGGTTAGGCAGTAAACATCTAGCCATCCCAGGTACTACCCTTCACTCCATCAGTTACCAGGAAGGGGAACCAAGGAGGGAGGAAGGTATATTAGGTTCACGATTGAGTGATAGCTGAAGAGAACCTGCCACTGTCTCTTGGAAGATGACGGCATCCCTTTTCATTGCTGTTTGAATGAAAACAGTTTTAAGGCTCAAAATCATATGGACTTCCCAAATTTCTGTTTTTGAGAAGGCTTTGCTGCAAGCCACCATTCCCAACGGGGCACTCTGAGAATATTACAAGCCATCTTTATTGCCAAAACCAGCAAGTACACAGAGTCCTGAGACAAGGCAGGACTTGTGGCAATGCCTTGGCCTCTTGGAAGCATGTCTGAGCCCTCCTGTTCCCAGGGACCATGAGGAACAAGCCCTGCTGAGCTGCTACAGTTTCTGCCTGACCTCATTCCTTTGCAGGCATCATTTGTCTTTTCTTGGCATGGGTGCTGACCTCACTTATCCTTGGGGTCTGGGATCCTGCATCAGGGCCTCTATACCCCCAGGATCCTCCATGCCACATGGTCACTGCTCTTCTCAGGGACCAGGACAAGGTGCTGCTGCTTTCCCACATTTTCCCTATAGGAAATGTACAGTCATTGCTCCTTGGGCCCTGATGGGGCCTCCAGCTGGGGTACATGAGCTCATGAGCTGACTCGGATGTTTTGGGCAGTTGTTTCTCTTCTGGATTCCTCATTCTCCCCTCCAGCAGACCTTCAGAGACTGATGCTAGGGGCTGAGTTGATTTACATTTTAAACTCTAGTCATGAACTTTTTCACAGTATCCTAGACACCATTGCAGCCCAGCTAGGGCAGCTGCATCCCCAGGGTGGTCCTTCAGCTCCAGAGTCTTTGTTCAACAAAGCCCTTTGGTACTGTTGTGGTTTTCTATTTCCGGTTTACTCTTTCTCTCCTAACTCTATTCAAAAGTATCTGCTGCTCTTGGCCTTTTCTTTTATCTTTTTTTTTTTTTTTAATTGTGCTTCGGTACTAACCAGTGTGTGGAAAAGGTATAATATGTTGGAGAGAAGGAGAGTATTGTTTCTTGGACAGTTTTTCTATTCATGTTTTTTATTTTGGCCAGTTCTTTTATTTATGCTCCTGTGGCCTAGGTACTTGGGAGGCCAGCTACCCTCCTGACCTCTTTGTGTTCTTGAAGGAAACCAGATACAAATTGAACACCAAGTAGAGTGTCGGTATGGTTGTAGAAATTTGGCAGAGAGCAAGCCTTGCTGCGTATCTGTCAGGCCAGGTGAAAGGACCAGATGTTTGTAGCTGGTGATGTAAATATTTTGTATAGTAAATAAACAAATGTCTAAAGAAAGAACTGAGGAGGAAATTATTGCTTTCAGTGAGATACAGGGCTGAATCAAAGATGGGAAGTTTCCTTATAGAAACATATCCATGTAGATACAATTTTGCACCTCCCCGGTAATTTCCTTGGAAACAGGAATCAGTTTTCTTTGACTAGAATGTACATCCAGAGCCCTTGTTTGTCCCTAATGTCTGTCCATAGGACCAGGTAGGGCTACCCTGCTCATTCTTCCAGATAGCTGTCTGGTGGGACAAGTGTTTATGTTCAAGCCCTGAAGAGAAAACTGGCTTGGCAAGAACAAAGAATATCTATTACCAGTCTTTAAAGATTAATTTGTTGTTTTACTATATAAGAAATTAAGCATAGAAAATTTAGAAATAAGAAAAAAATATAAAGAAGTTGGATTTAATGGTGCATGCCTATAGTTCCAGCTACTTGGCAGGCTAACCCTGTGGAATTAGTTGAGCCCACAAGTTTCAGAACAGCCTGAGCAACTAGTGAGACCCTACCTCAAACAAAACCATAAAAAAACAACAAAAGGAAAAGTACAAGGCTGAGTCACCTACTCCAAAGGTAACCACTGTTAGCACTTCAATGTATAGCCTGCTGATTTTCATATAATCACACATTTACTCTTCATCTCAAGGACTTTGGGTATGTCAAACAAAAATACTGCTCCTAAAAACTTTGAGGGTTGCAGGTAGTACCAGTTCTTTTCCAGCCAAGGTAAGCTTGACAGAGATAAAACTAGACCTTTGATTTGGGCCTAAAAGGAAAAATTAGGGACCATGATTTACTTGGGGGAAATCATCATGGTTTCAAATCAACATTGGTTCTTAGTCTGGACAACCAAAGCAAAAATCCCTTTTGGAATTTGTTTTTCAGAAATACAAATTATTGCCTCAACCTTCCAGATCTAGTGAATTGGAGTCTTAGCTTGAAAACTTTTTTTTTTTTTTTTTTTTAGTGTATTCATTCTATTCCTACTCATCAAACTCTTTTTTTGTGGCCCTGGGGCTTGAACTCAGGGCCTCAATGCTTGCTATGCAGGTGTTCTACCACTTTAGCTACTCCACCAGCTCTCATCAAACTCCTCGAATGATAATGGTTTTGAAAGAAAAGATGTTTTATTTTTCTAACTTTATTTTTAGGTTATTTACAGTCTTTTCACTTGCTGCTTCTATGGAATTGAGTGGGTCACTCTGAATATTAATTATCAAGTGATTTCAGCCCATCATGAAGTCATTACCAAGATGGAAAAGGTTGGTTGGATTGTTATTGAATTAATACAATAAATACTAGCCTCAGCCTCTCTTACACCATCACCCCTGAGCCATTGCAGATGGAGTTTGTTATACCTTGGTCCTGCTACCCTTTCCTTGGAACTGAATAGAGCCTCTCCAGCAGGTGGCTGAAGGGCTGCTTGTCTCTACTTTGGTTTCACCTAGACCCTCAGGCGTAGTAGATCAATAACAGATTTTCAGTAATACTTTTATTACAAAATAAATTCCTTTAAAAATTTTTGAAATATAATTATAAAAAAAGGTATATAGGATGTACAATTCACAAATAGTTTTTTAAAAAAAATCTAGCCACCATCCTGGTCAAGAAATGAAACATTGCAGTATTGCAGAGCATCCTCATAACATCCCTAGAAAGCAGTGACTATCCTGACTTAAAAAATAATGATTTCACCAATGTACTTTCAAACAGCTTATTCACAAAGTCACAGGTGTGGGGAGCTCACGCAATCTCTTGATAAGATCAGTTTCTCCATAATAATTATTAGCCCCCAAAATTGGTTTTAAAAGTCTTTTTTTTTTTTTTGACAGTACTGGGATTTGAACTCGGGGCTTTGAGCTTGTTAGGCATATGCTGTACTGCTTGAGCCACACCACCAGCTTAAAAGTCTTTTGAGACCACCTTTGTCCCGTGAGAATCTAGTCCATATTCCTGATGCTGAATCTGATTAATTATATTTTAAGACTATAGGTCTTTCTGTAAAGATTTCCTCCCGATATTCTAAATTGGATACTCCTGAGCAGGTTTTGTAATCTGGTCTAACTTTGTGATTCTCTCTGATGGTCAGCAGGGCAGTATTCTTGAATATCATATAAGCGGAGTATTGCTGAAAATGACTTAATACTAAATTGCTTCAAGAATTGTGGAATGGGCTAGTGTTTCTAACACTATATAACAGAAAGGCAACCCAAAGTTATTGGAGAGCTTAATTTTGGTTTTGTTTTTTAGTTTTTGTTTCTCTGGAGAACAAAGGAATGGTTTATAGAGATGGCTTAAGCAAAGTTGTCCAGGCTGTTAGTATAGCACTTCCTTGTCAATACCAGCCAGCAGAAGCAGCTTCTTAAATACAGGATAGTGACTATGCTGGTACCTTTAGGGTAGGTACAGAACCATAGCATCTAATCACCTGTTCCCTTTGCAGCCTTCCTTTAGGGAGATGTTGGTTTCCTCAGGATGGGGCCTGTTGATGTGATTGCCACTTCCTTGGAGTTACCAGTAAGCAGGCCACCACAGCCTTGTAGTCTTTGATGCCTTATACCAAGTTCAGCTGGCAAACCAGGCAAATTTCTGAGTGAGCAAGGTCTTAGGACCTCATCTTTTAGATGACCCTAGGAAGAAGTCAATCTTGGAATACACAGGCAGACCTTATTTTGCCCTTGACCAGATGTTGTATCCTGATGACAAGAACCTAGGGGTCTTGTTTCTGACCTTAGTGTCCCTAGACTTCCACCACCCCTTGTAGCACAGGCATCTCCTTCCATTTGGTGTTTTCTCAAAGATGCCCTTGGACACTTTTGCATCAGATGTGCAGAATGGCACTCTTGAAGGATAGAGAGCCATGAATTGATTTGTTTCAATGATCTTATTTTTTAATTCCCAACATTCAGCCTTGGATAAGACAACCTTTTTTCCTGACCAATGAAATAATGCCACTAAATAAGAAAATAATATCGAGCTCTTTGAAAAAAATCTTCCTATATATAGGTAGTATTTGTGATATCATATTGACCATGGCCTAAGGCTTGTTTCCACAGCAGGAGGCTACATGGATCTGGGGGCTGTTTAAGTGATTAGTATGAGTGGTATGGAAATTCCAAGCAGGTGGTACTCTTTTCCCACCTTGCCTGTCTATCAGGCTATAGAGAATGTGGGTATTCAAAACAAGGCCCAAACACCTATGAAGAATACCTAGTCAGAAGATAGGACACTCCAAAGGCCAGAAGAGGTATTTGAGGGGGATGCATCTCAGACCTGTCACGTGGTAGATAATTTACCCTGACTTTTCTTAACTTGCCTGGTTACTGAATAGTAATAATAGCTATCTTTTTTTGGGGGGAGGGGTGGTACTGGACTTTGAACTCAGGGCCTCATGCTTGTTACGCAGGTGCTCAATCACTTGATCCATTCCGCCAGCCCATAGCTTTCAATTTTTTTTTTTTGAGCTCTTCCTGTAAAGAATTTTAACGTATATGGTCTTAAATTCACAATGACCCTGCAATGTATGTCTTATTTTCTCCATTTTGCACAAGGAACAGAGGATAAGTAACTGCCAAGGTTCCTTAGCTAGTAAGCAGTAGGGCTCTATTTGAACACCGATCTGTTTTTTGTCAAAGCCCAAACTCCACATTTCTGGTTTGTCTCTTGTAGATTAGTTTAGACTGAGAGTGAGCCCAGGCAGTGGGCCACCAGTGCTTGCTGACTTCCTCATATTCACTTGGTGATGCTGTGTGTGACAGATGAACACTTTATACTTTGTTTTACCTACCAGTCACTTGGAGATTTAGGATGGATGAGGAGAAGAGCTTATCTAGGGTAAAGAGCTTTTAAGAGTTGCAGCTATTAGCAGTGGCTTTAAAATCTTGCATGGACAAAGTTTTGTAGAATACCAGTTAATGACTTGAGTGAAGAGACTTTCAAGTTTAAATGAATCTCTCGTAAAAAACACAACACACCCTTGAGGATTTGGGGGAGAGGATCCTGAAATTTTAATACTTCCACTTTGATGGGAAATCTATGTCACATGCAAATGGAATTAGTAGAATGAGGTCAGACACAATAACCTGATGTTTATCTCTTAATAACTAAGTCTATAGGAAAAGACTCATTTGAATAAATGTCTTGTTTCTCTGCTTTGTTTACATGAAAAAGCACCAAACACCAATTGGTAAGGGCCAAATTCCTGGTAAGCATCTCACTGAGGAAGCAAACACTTTTAAGAATGCCAGAATTAAAGGGAGCTATCTCTCCCCCAAACAAGATTATATTGAACTATCTTTCTCATAGTGAAGGGTTTCTGTACCTCTGCAGGATAAAGTCACTGTTTCTCCACCCTCCCACTTCACTTGCAGTATGGATTTGCACAAGAAGGAATCTGTCTAAACCTTCCCATCCTCCACAGACCAACATGTACCTTCCCTCTCTCCAGAACTCCCACTCAGAGGAGTTGCCAAGGCATTCCTTGGTTTGCTTATTAGTGAAGTCAGTGATATCAGAGAATTTGCAAGCTAGCAGAGAACCTTTGATGACTTTTATGCTATGCTGAAAACAAAATGTTATTGTGTGAGAGGAAGGTTATATATGTGTCATCACTATATACTAGGGTCC